TCTAGGGCCACATCTCTACTTGCTGTGTTGGAGATCGATCTTCTGGCATTTGATTCAACGGGTCTAGTAAGGACCTGATAAATTGAACACTGTAGGTACCCCGATTGGCGCCAATACGCCTTCGTTCACAAGGAGTAAGGGAAACCGACAGGAGCATTTGCTCCCGGCGATCTCCCACTGTGAAGATATCATCTACCTTGGTGTGACAGGGGTTCTATCCTGCACTGGCCCTTTGAGGGTAAAAACCCAGCCCTGAGAGAGGGCTGAGAGCAAAGCCTACAGCTAAGGCAAATAGTAGTCAGTTAGGGCCCAGCTGGGGCTACATAAATAAAGGCTGCAGGAAGAAGGAGGGCAGAGAGAGAGAGAGACAGACAGACAGACACTCTTGCTCTAGCTGGGGAGCAGGAGGAACCTGGATTCCAGGGAAGCTGGGGGCTTCCTATAGACAGAGCAGTGCTGGGAAAAGGCAGGCAGCACTGGGGAACTCTGGCCTAGCCACACTCCCAGGCTGCAAAGCCTGAAGCAAGGCCTGAGAGTAGTAGGGCTGCAGGGGAGCAGCCAGGATAGGAAAAGGTCCACACCCCCTTGCCAATGATGAGTGGCCATTTCAGACTGCAGTTTGCCCCTGTGGCAGGGGCTAAATGAAAGCTGGTAGTGGGTCACTGAGGCAAGGTGGGTATAGGGGAATTGTGGGTTCCCTGGAAGGATAGAACCCATGAGCACAGAGACTGACAAATACCCCCTTGCCCCCAGAAGGGGGATGAGAGACAACAATAGTGGGCACTGCTGGAGGGAAGTGTCCTGAAGAGGACACCACGGTCTGGGAGAAACGTGGGAGAATGGAGTGATGGGGGAGACACCAGACAGACAGAGGCATCCTGCGGGCTGGCAAAAGCTAATTCCCAGTGCTGCCAGCAGCAGGTGCCATGGCGGTGTGTGTCCGCTCCATGACACTCAGCTTAAAGTGTGTCAACTCCAGCTACATTATTTACATATCTGGAATTATGTGCCTTAAACCAACCTTCCTGGTCTAGTATAGACCTGGCCTAGTTGTGTAGCATTGCATATGATGCTTTCTTTTTGGTGGCGGTCAGTGCTTAATCTGTGCCAGGGCTGAGTCCTAGCACCTCGGGGTGAAAATAAAAGTTATGAAAACAACTTGGAACTGAGCTCCGTCTTGCTGTTGCACCTTGTCTACAATGTGTGGGAACTTGGAAAAGTTCAAATAGCCTGTTTTAGCCAACAACATTTGACAGTTCACTATTCTGAAATGAAGGCTAATGTATGTGAAGATCTTTCTTTCCAACAAGTCTAGATATTTAACCTCTTTGTTAGAAGAAGTGGATTTGGGATACTGTCTCTGTGATGGTATGTAAGAGTAGGTTACTTACCTTCCTGTAACTGACATTCTTCAAGATGAGTGTCCCTGGGGGTGATCCACAGTAAGTGTTGGTGCATCCTAGCACCTCAGAGCAGATTTTTTATAGCAATGTATTGGGACCGTGTATGCGTGGCGCTCGCGGGCTCCCCCAGTACCATCGCGCATGTGCAGCCATCCTCCCTTCATTTCCTTCTCTATCCAGAACCTGGCGTAGGAGAACAGCTTCTTCCCCTCTCCTCCCTCTTCTCTTCTTATTTTGTTGAGGCCATGGGTTCCACAATTGCCATGGGGAGGGCGGGGGGAGGGCCTTGGTGGTGGCATCCATGGATATGGTACCCAGGGAGCCATTGCTGCTCTGGTGAAGTCAGGCTGGCCGGAATTAAATGACAATCCCAATGCCTCTGTACGTGGGATAGCTGCAGTGAGAAAACCACTAAGTTGTCATTCCCCTCAGTTGATAGGGGGGAGGGTGATGCTGTGTAATTGGATAGTGGTGAGTAAGATTGTTTGTCATCACTCAAAAAAAGAGAATTTAGAATAGAGGAGATTGCCAGGTCTCTGTGCTCCCTATAGCTAATGGTAGGAGTGTGAGGCACCAAAAGGTTGCTATAGAAGATGATACAACCTGTGGCACCAGAAGAGCAGAGCACACATCGTGAGGAGGGAGGCGGTGCCAAGCAGCTGCCCTGTCAGCTGCTGCGGTGCCATGAAAACCGCTTGGAGTACCACTGTACTCGGCAAGGTATTAGTAAGTGCCATGCTTGGTGCCGAGCTTTGGAGGCAGGCACGGTGTGGCCTGTCACCTCTAGTTGGGTGCCCTGTGTGGCACTTTTATGATGAAGTCGGGGCTTCCCTTGCAACAAACCCCGTTGCCAGCTTTGTCCACATATTCATTCTGCTGATACCATTATTGGACCTAACCAAGTGAGTTATAAGATCAAGAACACATATTCCTGCGCATCCAGAAATATAATCTATGCTATCATGTGCCGAAAGTGTCCGTCTGCTATGTACAGTGGACAAACATCTCAGACACTTCGCCAAAGGATTAATGCCCACAAAACAGATATCAGACAAGATCACAAAGAAAAAACAGTTTCTTGCCACTTTAACCAGAAAGGACACTCTCTCAATGACTTAACCACCTGCATTCTGCTACAAAGACCTTTTACATCTGCACTTGAACGGGAATCCTCTGAACTGTCATTCATGTTAAAATTCGACACTCTCCGAGAAGGAATGAACAAACACTCAAACTATCTTACCCATTACCAAGATAGCTTCCCCAATTATCACCTCTAATACCATTAGCTCACAAACATCCCACTCTCCCCACCTCTAATATCAATTCACAGACACTTACCTTCCTTCCTTCCCCCCCCCCTGCTTCCCCCTCCTGTTCTGCAATGTGATTTGTCCTTTTCATATGTGTTCATTTTTTTAATTGTATCCTTTGGTATATATGGTTGTGACTATTTTCTTCCACTATTTGATCTGAGGAAGTGGGTCTGGCCCACGAAAGCTCATCATCTAATAAACCATCTTGTTAGTCTTTAAAGTGCTACATTGTCCTGCATTTTGCTGATACTTTGAGAGATGAACTAGAAAATCTTATCAATTCCAGGGTAATCTGTTTGTGATATTCCTTTTCCACGTGGCCAAGAGGAAGCACCACCTGTTTCCTTAAAGAGAAATGCCTGAGCTACTCCATAATAGAACACATTGGCTCTGCATACCTGACGTATGAAGGGAGTACCAGCAGTCCCAAAGTAAATGCCAAGTATAGGTTGGTACGAAGAGGCTCTAGATCTCTTGCCTGTGCTATAATTTTTTGGCCAGTCTTTTTGATGTTTACCTTTTCGTAACATTGTGAAAGTGGGGTCCACCTAAATCCCTATCAAAACCCAATTTAAGTTATTTGTAAAGTTTGCCCAATTTTTAGCACACGAAGGGCTTTTCAAACAAAGAAAATTCCTTTTTTCTCTCTTCCCCTTTGTAAGAAAGAATCAGAACAAACAAAAAGAGAGGCAAAGGTGGCAGTTTTTCTGGGGTCAGTCCTCTAGGGTGTGGCTCAGCACCTGGTCTATAATATTTAATTAGGCCTATGTCTGGACTCTCTTCTTGGGGCACCTTGCTTAATAGCTGGCCCATGCACTTTCCAGGATGGTGAGGCCTGCAACTGTTTCCCACTTATTTTACCTATCTCTGGTCAGCAATCTCTGAGGTGCAGCAGTGTTCTTCCTGTACACTGTTCCTCCTTGTGGCAGGATTTCCCTTTTTAAGCTTCCCACCCCAGTCAGAGCAAAGCTTATAGTTATACCTTGTTAAGACTGAATGAGCACACAAGAGACTGTTAGTTAATGCTCTCACCTCTCATAAGCACATCCTATCTGCTGAATGCAATCCTGTATTCTTTCCTTTCTCTGTTCCCAGTGCCATTTCTTGGCTGTTGCCCTCATCAGGCAGATCTTCAGCAGTTCATCCCTCAGGCTAAGTCACTCAGTTAATAGGTAAGGACGAACCCCTTCCTAGGTAAAAGGTCCAACAGGGCCTGTCTCTGTGTCCTTGTAAATATCTGTAGCTCTATCTTTGGGCTCCCCATTCTTCCCTGGATCTCACAAGGTCATTTCTCAATATTCAAGACATGTTGCAAGGCTTATTTTTCCCCTACACTTTAGACAAGGTAATGATTTGAGAGTTATAGAGTGACTGGCTAAGAAGGAATTGTTTTGTCCTCTTACATTTGGTAGCTGTTATTGCGAGACATTTTTTATATTCAAATTTGGATGTTATTATTGTATCTTAAATTTTACAACAATACTTAGGATTTTGACTATGCTTAACAGTGATCCAAAAAAATAGCTTCAACTTTTTATGGCTCGTCAGTATTAACAAAATTATTTTGTCCGACATTTGCAATTTTCCTTCCTCTTTACTGATTTAAAAAATTCATTTGCAACAGCCTGAATGGTTTATGCTCAAGTATGTTATTGATATGTTTTATCTTTTATTTAAGCTACTAAATATTACAACTCAATATTAATGCTACATAATACACAATACACAAACAGCACTATATTTACATCTTGTGCATTCACTCACAAATATAAGCTAATATGCATTTAGCCTTCCAGTTTATTTGAAAAAAGTGAGCTATTCCAGGAAATATAGTAAGCAAAAAACACACATAAAAAGACAACTGTCAAAATATGGAAATCTCTCAAAACCATTCCAAAATAGAATTTCACACAATATGATAAAACCAACACAGTCTATTTTACCAAAAAAAGACCAGAAGAAAAAAAAAGATGAGTTTTGCACATTGACCTGAAGGTTAATAAATTCAGGCTTTGGCAGACCATTATGGGAAGCAGGAAACAGAACTGACAAGCATGCTCACACCTTACCCATTTAAACCAAAGGATTATTAGTACAAGCACCTCATCTATTGTATTATTGTATGAAGAAGGGATCTCTTCTCAGACACCTAGAACCTAAACTTAAATTTAGAGCACAGTGATCTAAAATATCTATTTTAACACATTAGAAAGCAGAAAAAATACTTACTAGAAATAAATTATAATTATAATCTTCATGTACTTACTTAAAACATACCAACCTGTTCAAGTTCTTGTATTTTACTGTCTTTGATTTGCAAAATTTCTAATACTTTCCTGTCCTTGACTTCAGCCTTCTGCTTTTCTCTAGAAACAAAAAATAGACAGTTTATTAGTCATAATTTGCAGTTAATCCTTTGAATTTTTCATATCCTGATAATGAATGTCATTTTAAAGCACAGAAAATTAAATTATCTAAGGCTGACAGCCCTTGCAGAATTAATCAGGTAGCATATGGCAAGTGACAGCAAATTACATTGGCAAACAGCTAAGACAACTTTATTCTAAAGAAGCAGGAGGACCAGGACTCGAAAATCATAAAAGAAAGCCCAAAATAATCTACAATATTACTTCCAAACGACATGAGGTCTATTCAACTATATAATGAGCAAACTCTTTTTTCCTTTTACCTTTGTCTGATCTCACACTCAACTTGATGGCCTTTTTATGTTTGTGTGTAACACAATAACTTTTGAATGCTGTATCCAATCAATATCAACATTTCAGGTAATGGTGTAGTCATCAGTTGGCAGGACCCTATTGATTTTGGTGAAAATCAGAAAACTGGATGTACAGAAATTGTGGCATCTTATTAGCAAACCCGTCAGCTGTAATCAGGTCTGCAACTGTCTATATATTAACAAACTGGTTGATGGAGCCATTAAGATCTTCTATCATACCAACATCACTTCCTTTCATGTCAACTGACTTTGAAATGTTAACACTCTGAAAAACACTATGCATGCTCAAAAGCTTGCCTCTCTTAGCAGCAGAAGTTGGTCAAATAAAATAAATTATTTTACCCACCTTATCTCTCTAATATCCTGGAAGCAATACAGATACAGTAACACAGCATACAACACTCTCTGACTTATATCCAAAACAGAAAAGCAATAAAAAAGGAGAAGGGCAAATGGGGGAGCATACAGAGCCCAACCACAGTGGAGAGATTTGAGAACCCTGGAATCAGGGGAGAGGAGCACAGTGTGTAGGTATGGGGAAACAAAGAGCCCTGGCATGATGAGGAATGTGTCTGTAGTACAGTTCTCAACAACCAGTAGATCGGGATCTACCAGTAGATCTTGGAACCTCTGACAGGTGATCCTGACTGGTTTGGCCTGGAAGCTATCAAGCGCTAGCACTTCAGTTGCCCCGCCACCCACTGTTATGCTGCTCCTGCCCTCTGCCTTAGAGCTGCCCCCTTGGGAGCCTCCTGCTTGCTGTGCAGGTGTGGGAGGTGGAAGGGGGGCACTGATGTCCAGGTTTCCCTCCTTCCCCTACTTCTGTACCTTATCTCCTCACAGAGAAAAGGGGATGGAGGGAGCATGGCAATGCAAATCTCTGTCCCTCTCACACACTGTGTGTATCTCTGTCATTCTCACAAACACACGCTGTCCTTCACTCTCATCTCCTGATCCAACACATACGTGTATGGGTAGTTATTTGCGAAGTGTGTTATTTTTGGTTTTTGACTGCTCTGTGCACTTCATAATTTTCATTTCTCTCTTACACTTACATTTAATTCTTTCAGTAGTGAGTTCTAAAATGCCTAACCTGTTGTGGCTGGAGAAATTATCCCTTTGGTAACTGCTGCTCCTGGAAGTAGCTGACATGTCCCTGCAGACCCTGAGAGAGGCAGAGCAGGGGGTCTCCACATGCGGTCCTTGCCTGCAGATACCACTCCTGCAGCTCCCATCGAACAATAATGGGGAACCGTGGCCAGTAAAGCTGTGGGCTCAGTGCCTGTAGATGAGGGGCAGCACATGGCACCATGGAGCCATTGCTGTACATGCCAGCTGCTTTCAAGAGTGGTGCAGGACCACGGCAGGAGTAAGGCTGCCTTAACTCCAGTGCTCCACCACCTGGAAGTTGTGTCAGTTAAATGGTACCCAGACAGAGACTGCTTCCTGAAACCTTGTCCCAGCCCCGAACTTCCTCCTACACCAAATCTCCTGCCCCAGACATGAGTCCCCCTGTACCCAAACTCCTTCCCAAGAGTTTGACCCTAAAACCCTCCTGGACCCCAATCCCACACCTGGGCTAAGCCCAAAGCCCCTCCTACACTCCAAGCTCCTTGGCCCAAGACCAGCGCCTGCAACCCAACCCCCTATCCTAGCCCAGTGAGAGTGAGTGAGAATGGGGGATGAAGGAGGATGGAGTGAGAAGGAGCAAGGCCTCAAAGAAGGGGTGGGACGGAAGTGGGGCAAGAGTTTTTGAATCTGAGGTAGATCTTATACTGCACATAAACTGAAAAAGTGATCTTGTGGTTAAAAAGGTTGGAGACCTCTATTCTATGGAGTCCCTGAAATAGAGGGTGTGGGAGATAGGTATACAAGGCTGCTTATGGGAGGTAAGGGAGGAATACAAGGAACCCCTCATGCATGCAATGAACTTGGCCTATAATAGCAGTGAATTGTGCAGCCCTCCCTAGTTCCATATTGGGGAACTAAAAAGAGGATAGCATTCATTGTGACACAAGCCTATTTTTCCTTAGCATCCACAAGCATTATATTCTAAGGCTGTCAACAACTGGAAGTTTTTGGATCAAAAAGTATTGCCCCGTAATGCTTTCAAAACATAATGCCATCTCAAAGTCTCAGGAGTGCTAAAACTTCTTATTCTGATTGTGGATTTAACTCTATACATTGGGAAATTTTTTACACTGAGTAAGCATCTTTGAAAACCCCAAATAAAAGCTTATCATTGTGAGCAACTTTCTTTTATCTCAGCACAAAAAGTTGTACGCTAGATGGTTATTTTGGTGAGAAAAAAGGATTATAAGATCGCAGACCTATTTGTTCTGTTTCAGAGCCATACTTAATAGCAGAGTATTATATACTTTATTGGCTTTCTAGAATAAAAATTTTAAAAAAATACTAATCAAACAATAGCATGAAAACTTTGTTTTTTGAGCTTATTCAGTTCAGAAATAGGTATGAGTTACACCATGCAGAAACTCTGAAGTTCCTCTCTTGGTCACCCAGTGATGTAAGTGCTTGACTACTTATATATTGCTTGTTGATTTAGACCAATGCAGCCCACTGGGGTTCCACTTGCAGCCTGTGCACCTCCTCCCTGCCCTTCTGTCCCCCCAACCCTCCCGACACCTCATATATACTGGGGCACTGGAGCCCCGCACTTACCTACTCCTTCCCTTCACTCCCAGCACCTTCAGAGCACCATGCATCCATTGATTCACACTATATCCCTCCTCCTCCTCCCTCCCAACACTTTTGGAGCACTGTGAATTGGTGCTCTGTGATGAAGGAAGAGAAGTGGGGACAGAGCGCTATTGCACAAGAGACGTGGAGAAAGGGGGCAGCAAGGGGAAGTGTGGGCCACAGATGGAACGTCAGTGGGCTGCAGGCCACAGGTCGCCCACCACTGGATTTCAATCATGCGGCCCAATCATTAGTTCTGGTTTCCCATTGCTTATTTAGACTGTATGCACTTCAAAAAAGACCTTTTCCAGTCCATGTACTATATACATTGAATCTGGCTCTCTTAAGTCCATTGAAGTCAGTGGAAAGTTCTTGCCCAGTGTTAGTATTCAACAAATAAATATAGCAATGTTAAACTATATAGATTAGAAGGCAGAATTAATTATCATATATACAAGCACTTTTAGGAAATTTAATTGCGATTGCCAATCTGGCATATACCATAAATTGAGCTCATTATTGCAGTGATAATCATATTAATAACTAAATGGGGAAAATTCTAGAAAGTGTTCCAGCCTCCTCTTGTCAGCGTCTATTTTTTACTAGAGTTGGTCTAAAGCTTATAGTTCTTGCTGAGGAAAAACTCCCATCACAAACACAAAAGAGAAAACTTAACATAGGTCATGTCTACAATAGAAGCAATTTATCAGTACTGCATAGGAATAATTGCATACAATACTGGCAAAGCTAACCTAGCAAAGCTACACCAAGCAGAAAAAACTACCACTATGAGTGGAACACGCAATGTCACTAAAAGCACAGCTTTGCTGTTATAATTGCTTTTACACTAGGTCCTCCAGCCAGCACAGTTGTGGCTGGTCAGGGATCACAACTCTTCACATTCTTGACCAACATCACTGCTGTATTGGCAGATGCCCCTAGTCATGTATAAATCTAGCCATAGGAAAGGTTTACCGCAACCTGGGTACAAAGTAACTGGTCCCTTGCAACCTAAAGTAGTAAGAATGAGATTTCTCAATTCCAGCCCTCTGGTGGGTTTTACTGGTTGCTTAGGAGCACTAGATGGTGAAGTACCGAGTAAAACATTCAGTTTTTCCAAGATTTCTCTGAATATCTAGTAACAAGAGCAAATTATTCAAAAAATTACCAGATGCTTAATGAGAAAAAAAATCTGATGTATCTACCCATTCCAAGGGAGTTATGCACTGGTCTTAAAGAGGTGATAAATAAGAAGAAATATAATAATAGCATAAAAAATAATTAATGATACAGAGAAAGTAGCGCAAAAACTTCTGTTCACCCTCTTGCAACACAAGAGCAAGAGGCGATTCAATTAAATTGAACTGTGCTGATAAAGGGAAATATTTTCCCACAATGCACAATTAGCTAGAAGAACTCAGCAGCTCACCAGGACAGAAAAAAAGAACTGGATATTTAGATATGTACAAACAAGAATATTGATTTTAAAGTGAATACTTTAAAAAAAAACACACACACAAAAAACCCCTAGGCTGTGTCTACACTGGCATCCCTTCCGGAAAAAGGATGCTAATGTAGCACATCGGAATAGCAAAATCCACGGGGGATTTAAATATCCCCCGCGGTATTTGCATTAACATGGCTGCCGCTTTTTTCCGGCTTGGAGATAAGCCGGAGAAAAGCGCCAGTCTAGATGTGATTCTCTGGAAAATAAGCCCTTTTCCAGAGGATCTCTTATTCCTACTTTGAAGGGTCCCTACTTACAAACGGGGTGAGGCAACCCCGCACTAGCTGCTTCCCCCCAGCAGACCAGGGAGACGCGAAGCTAGCGCCTCCCCCAGCAGACCAGGGAGATGCGGAGCAGCTTTTCTCAGCAGACACCTCAGCTTGAGAATAAAGGACTGAGGGAAGTGAGGTGTGGGAGAA